AGGTCTGTGGGAATTAATGTTGTTACTTCCCTTTGTTAAAATCGGGGATGGGCCGAAATATCGGCATTTTTTCAACTGGTAACAACACAGTTACTTCCTCCTGGTGGAAATTTAAACCTCCAAAAAAAAGGTTGTTTACTGCATATTTGATGCTTTTAATGTACGTCGTCACCTCACCTATGGTTACTTCAGTTAGCTAGTTAGTTAGTTAGTTAGTTAGTTAGTTAGTCTTTCCTCTTGTGTCGAGTGCGGCACATAGGTCAGAGGTCATGACTCTCCATGCATGGCGGTTCGTTGCAATCTGTTGTAGGTCTTGGATGTTTGAGTGGCCCATGGGGGAGCCTTCCCTGATGATAGTTCTACGTAGGGTTTCTCTTGGTCTTCTACAAGATCTTTTCCCCTGTGGTGTCCAAGTGAGGGCTTGGTAAGGAAGTCTTGATTTATCCATTCTAAGAGCGTGGCCAACATAGTTCCAGCGGCGTTTTCGTATAAAATTAGACACATACTCTTGCCTGGATTCTTGCCTTTTTTGTGTATTGGTTCGAAAATCTGACCATTTGTTGCTTCAGTTGCTTACTGGAAACTCACTACCATTTGTGCAGTAAATACTTTATCAACTTCTAATTCTGTTTACTGCATTGATCTTTTCCCTTTCCATGTGGTTCCTCCTTGAGTATGTGGTAAGAAACTCTCTTCCATAACGTAACAAAATGTGATTAAAAAGTGGTGGGGCTTGACGGAGGGTCTGACAGTACGTTCTAGGAGACACCAGCTTTACCTGTGTGACAGGTCTGTGGGAATTAATGTTGTTACTTCCCTTTGTTAAAATCGGGGATGGGCCGAAATATCGGCATTTTTTCAACTGGTAACAACACAGTTACTTCCTCCTGGTGGAAATTAAAACTTGTCCAAAACAAGTTGTTTACTGCATATTTGATGCTTTTAATGTACGTCGTCATCTCACCTATGGTTACTTCAGTTGCTTACTGCAAACTCACTAATATCTGTGCAGTAAATACCTTATCAACTTCTAATTCTGTTTATTGCATTGATCTTATCCCTTTCCATGTGGCTCCTCCTTGAGTGTGTAGTAAGAAACTCTCTTCCATAATGTAACAAAATCTGATTAAAAAGTGGTGGGTAAAAAAGAAAAATTACATGTACTGTCAATAAGAATTTCGAGGAAAACACGCACATAATTCAAAGTGTCAAATAACACAAGAAACGATCACCAGCAACTGGTAATTTAGTGTGCAAATATCAATGCAACAATTGATACTGTTTTGACTTGATTATATCTGCTGTTTTGTCTGATGTTGGACAAGTTGTAACGAAGATCACTCTCCACACCAAGCTGGCATTGCTGTTTTGTTCTTGTGACTGTACAGCTGAAGATCCTCATTATAGCAAGTAAAAATGCACTTAAGTTCAAAACTGTAATAAGCCCTGCCCCCTCCCTCTTGAAACTCACCGTCGCCCCTGTGGTTGGAGACGACTGATATTTTGGGACAGCGAGCCCCTCTCTTATAGAGACAGACACAGTTAGCATGGACCTCAGCCCCCAGCCATCGGTGCAGGGACATCAAGATTAATGTCCCTATAAATAGTTAGGAAACTACAGAAACATCATGTATGTATTTCCTATCGTCCTTTTCAGGATGAAATTTTTTATTTGAAGCTCCATCCTGGCTTTTGCCGGGGGCCGCAATATAGGCAGGCCATAAATATGGCCAAATGTCTGAACGCGGTTTCTGGGACCTCTCCACGGCGATCCTCATCCGCATGGTGGCACTTTGTGTCATCGGGTGTTTATCGCTTGTGTGATGTCCTGGTGGGGTAGAAAGTCAGTCAGTCAGTCAGAAACATCATGTAGTTAGACTTCACTTTTAGTTTTCGTCAGGAGGAAGTAACTGTGTTTCTACCAGTTAAAAAAATGCTGATATTTCGGCCCATCCCCGATTTTTCAAAGGGAAATAACCATATTAATTTAAGCAGACGTGTCACATAGGTAAAGTTCCTACCAGTTTTCCCTTTCCAAGAAATAACCACAACCCTTTTCTTCCTCCTCCTCCTTTTTCTCCTCCTTTTTCTTTATCTATTTTTCCCTTCTCCTGCTTCTTACAACACCTACTGTTATAATCGCTACTCAATCTCCTCCAGATCGGTACCTTATCAGTCCTCCAATCACTACAGCCCACTATGGCTTTTGCCAGAGCCCTGAATATAGCAGTGCCTTGAATACGGCCCAAAGGCTAAATGGGGTTTCTGGGACCTCTCCACTTTGCGTCACCAGGTGTTTATCGCTTAGTGTGAAGTCCTATGGGGTATAATTTACATACATACACACAGGTTACCTGGCAACAGCAGGGTGTAGTAGTAGTAGTAGTAGTAGTAGTATCTATACAACTATATAGTAGCAGTGCTGTTATCAAAGCATCTGCTGCTGCTAATATCTCTACCACTAAAATTAAAGCCATATTACTACTACTCAAACAACAACAAATTTTCCGAGTAGCAGCAGCACCAGTAGCAGCAGTAGTAGAAGCAGTAGCAGCAGTAGTATTAGAGCAGTAGCAGTTGTATTAATAGCAGCAGTAGTATTAGAGCAGTAGCTGCAGTAGCATTAGAGCAGTAGCTGCAGTAGCATTAGAGCAGTAGCAGCAGTAGTATTAGAGCAGTAGCAGCAGTAGTATTAGAGCAGTAGCAGCAGTAGTATTAGAGCAGTAGCTGCAGTAGTATTAGAGCAGTAGCAGCAGTAGCATTAGAGCAGTAGCAGCAGTAGTATTAGAGCAGTAGCAGCAGTAGTATTAGAGCAGTAGCAGCAGTAGTATTAGAGCAGTAGCAGCAGTAGTATTAGAGCAGTAGCAGCAGTAGTATTAGAGCAGTAGCAGCAGTAGTATTAGAGCAGTAGCAGCAGTAGCATTAGAGCAGTAGCAGCAGTAGTATTAGAGCAGTAGCAGCAGTAGCATTAGAGCAGTAGCAGCAGTAGTATTAGAGCAGTAGCAGCAGTAGTATTAGAGCAGTAGCTGCAGTAGTATTAGAGCAGTAGCTGCAGTAGTATTAGAGCAGTAGCTGCAGTAGTATTATGTAGTAGCTGCAGTAGTATTAGAGCAGTAGCTGCAGTAGTATTAGAGCAGTAGCTGCAGTAGTATTCGAGCAGTAGCTGCAGTAGTATTAGAGCAGTAGCAGCAGTAGTATTAGAGCAGTAGCTGCAGTAGTATTAGAGCAGTAGCAGCAGTAGTATTAGAGCAGTAGCTGCAGTAGTATTAGAGCAGTAGCTGCAGTAGTATTAGAGCAGTAGCTGCAGTAGCTGTTTTAGTAGCAGTAGCTGCAGTAGTATTAGAGCAGTAGCAGCAGTAGTATTAGAGCAGTAGCTGCAGTAGTATTAGAGCAGTAGCTGCAGTAGTATTAGAGCAGTAGCTGCAGTAGTATTAGAGCAGTAGCTGCAGTAGTATTAGAGCAGTAGCAGAAGTAGTATTAGAGCAGTAGCTGCAGTAGTATTAGAGCAGTAGCAGCAGTAGTATTAGAGCAGTAGCAGCAGTAGTATTAGAGCAGTAGCAGCAGTAGTATTAGAGCAGTAGCAGCAGTAGTATTAGAGCAGTAGCTGCAGTAGTATTAGAGCAGTAGCAGCAGTAGTATTAGAGCAGTACCAGCAGTAGTATTAGAGCAGTAGCAGCAGTAGTATTAGAGCAGTAGCAGCAGTAGTATTAGAGCAGTAGCAGCAGTAGTATTAGAGCAGTAGCAGCAGTAGTATTAGAGCAGTAGCAGCAGTAGTATTAGAGCAGTAGCAGCAGTAGTATTAGAGCAGTAGCTGCAGTAGTATTAGAGCAGTAGCAGCAGTAGTATTAGAGCAGTAGCAGCAGTAGTATTAGAGCAGTAGCAGCAGTAGTATTAGAGCAGTAGCAGCAGTAGTATTAGAGCAGTAGCAGCAGTAGTATTAGAGCAGTAGCAGCAGTAGTATTAGAGCAGTAGCTGCAGTAGTATTAGAGCAGTAGCTGCAGTAGTATTAGAGCAGTAGAAGCAGTAGTATTAGAGCAGTAGAAGCAGTAGTATTAGAGCAGTAGCAGCAGTAGTATTAGAGCAGTAGAAGCAGTAGTATTAGAGCAGTAGCAGCAGTAGTATTAGAGCAGTAGCAGCAGTAGTATTAGAGCAGTAGCAGCATTAGTATTAGAGCAGTAGCTGCAGTAGTATTAGAGCAGTAGCAGCAGTAGTATTAGAGCAGTAGCAGCAGTAGTATTAGAGCAGTAGCAGCAGTAGTATTAGAGCAGTAGCAGCAGTAGTATTAGAGCAGTAGCAGCAGTAGTATTAGAGCAGTAGCAGCAGTAGTATTAGAGCAGTAGTAGCAGCAGTAGTATTAGAGCAGTAGCTGCAGTAGTATTAGAGCAGTAGCAGCAGTAGTATTAGAGCAGTAGCAGCAGTAGTATTAGAGCAGTAGCAGCAGTAGTATTAGAGCAGTAGCTGCAGTAGTATTAGAGCAGTAGCAGCAGTAGTATTAGAGCAGTAGCATCAGTAGTATTAGAGCAGTAGCAGCAGTAGTATTAGAGCAGTAGCAGCAGTAGTATTAGAGCAGTAGCAGCAGTAGTATTAGAGCAGTAGCTGCAGTAGTATTAGAGCAGTAGCTGCAGTAGTATTAGAGCAGTAGCAGCAGTAGTATTAGAGCAGTAGCTGCAGTAGTATTAGAGCAGTAGCTGCAGTAGTATTAGAGCAGTAGCAGCAGTAGTATTAGAGCAGTAGCTGCAGTAGTATTAGAGCAGTAGCAGCAGTAGTATTAGAGCAGTAGCTGCAGTAGCTGTTTTAGTAGCAGTAGCTGCAGTAGCAGCAGCAGCAGCAGCAGTAGTAGTAGTAATAGTTGCTATTGTCGTCGTCGTACCAGCAGCAATAGTAAGAAGAAGAATAACTACAAGAACAAAAAGAAGAACAACAAGAACCATTAAAACAAAAACGAAAATAAAAAGAAGAAACAGAAGAACCACAGCGAGAAAGCAATCCCTGGAAAAATCATGAAAAGTAAAGGGGGTGAAAGAAGGAATACGCGCTATTCATTGTTGAAACTGGTTCAGTGTGCTTGACGGAGTGTCTGACAGTACGTTCTAGGAGACACCAACTTTACCTGTGTGACAGTTCTGTGGGAATTAACGTTCTTACTTCCCTTTGTTAAAATCGGGGATGGGCCGAAATATCGGAATTTTTTCAACTGGTAACAACACAGTTACTTCCTCCTGGTGGAAATTCAAACCTCCAAAAAAAGGTTGTTTACTGCATATTTGATGCTTTTAATGTACGTCGTCACCTTACCTATGGTTACTTCAGTTAGTTAGTTAGTTAGTTAGTTAGTTAGTTAGTTAGTCTGTCCTCTTGTGTCGAGTGCGGCACATAGAGCAGAGGTCATGACTCTCCATGCATGGCGGTTTGTTGCAATCTGCTGTAGGTCTTGGATGTTTGAGTGGCCCATGAGGGAGCCTTCCCTGATGATGGTTCTACGTAGGGTTTCCCTTGGTCTTCCACGAGATCTTTTCCCCTGTGGTGTCCAAACGAGGGCTTGGTAAGGAAGTCTTGATTTATCCATTTTAAGGGCGTGGCCAACATAGTTCCATCGGCGTTTTCGTATAAAATTAGACACATACTCTTGCCTGGATTCTTGCCTTATTTGTGTATTGGTTCGGAAATCTGACCATCTGTTGCTTCAGTTGCTTACTGCAAACTCACTACCATTTGTGCAGTAAATACCTTATCAATTTCTAATTCTGTTTACTGCATTGATCTTTTCCCTTTCCACGTGGCTCTTCCTTGAGTATGTGGTGAGAAACTCTCTTCCATAACGAAACAAAATGTGATTAAAAAGTGGTGGATAAAAAATAAAAAATCCCAAGTACTGTCAAAACAAACTTGGAAGGAAAAACTCGCATAATTCGAAGTGTCAAATAACACAAGAAACGATCACCAGCAACTGGTAATTTAGTGTGTAAATATCAATGCAACAATTGATACTGTTTTAATTTGATGATATTTGCTATTTGTTGGTCTGATATTGGACAAGTTGTAACGAAGATCACTCTCCACATCAAGCTGGCATCGCTGTTTTGTTCTCGTGGCTGTTACAGCTGAAGGTCCTTATTATAGCAAGTACAAATGCACTTAGGTCCAAGACTGTATTAAGCCCCTCCTCTTTCCTCTTCAAACTCTCTGCCGCCCCTCTGGTTGGAGACCACTGATTTATCTGCACAGCGAGACCTCTCTTAATACATAGGCAGTCACGATTAGCATGGGCCTCATCTCCCTAACCATCAGTGCAGGGGCCTCAAGATTATTGTCCCTATAACTACAGAAACATCGCGTAATTCGGCTCCACTTTTGGTTTTTGTCAAGAGGAAGTAACTGTGTTTCTACCAGTTGAAAAAATGCCGATATTTCAGCCCATCCCTGATTTTCACAAAGGGAAATAACAACATTAATTCTAGCAGATATGTCATACATGTATAGTTCCTACAAGTGTTCCCTTTCCAAGAAATAACCACAACCCTTTTCTTCCTCCTCCTCCTCCTCCTCCTTCTTCTTCTCTTTTTTATTTTTCGATTTCTTCCCTACTCCTGCTTCTTACAACACCTACTATTATATTCGCTACTCAATCTTTTCCAGATCGGTACCTTATCAGTCCTCCTATCATTACAGCCCACGATGGTTTTTGTCGGAGACCCTGAATATAGCTGGTCCTTAAATATATCTTAACGGCTGAATGGGGTTTCTTGAACTTCCCCACTGGTGATCCTCATCCACATGGTGGCACTTTGCGTCGCTGGGTGTTTATCACTTAGTGTGATGTCCTGTGGGGTATAATTTACATACATACATATAGACAGGTTACTTGACAACAGCAGGGTGTCCTAATATAAGTTTGTTATAGGTTGTACGGGATTTGTACCTGAGTTAATTCTAATCCGAATAGTGGCTCTTTGAGCTTCCGGATGTTTTTCGCGGATGGTGTACTACTACTACTACTACCACCACCACCACCATTTTACACCTAGTAGGCTTGCTGTTATCATTGCTACTGTTGCTGCTGCTGCTGCTGCTACTACTGTTGTAGCTGCTGCTGCTCCAACACTATCTACTATTACTGCTACTACGACTACGGCTTCAACTGCGTTTACTACAAAAATTCTAAATTACTACTAATACTACCACTTTTTCGCCTAGTATCAGTGCTGCTGTCAATACTGCTACTGCTGCTATTATTATAGCAGTTATTGCTGCTTCTACAACTACTATTCCAACACTACTACTACTACTGATCTACTACTTCTGTTACAAAAGCTGTTGCATTTACAACAAAAATACTACACTACTACTAGCACTACTACTAGCACTACTACTAGCACTACTACTAGCACTACTACTAGCACTACTACTAGCACTACTACTAGCACTACTACTAGCACTACTACTAGCACTACTACTAGCACTACTACTAGCACTACTACTTTTGCAATACATTGGCTATGCTGCTATAAATACTACTGCTGCTGCTATTATTTTTTAAACGAAAATTAAAGCCAGATTACTACCACTCCAACGACTATGAATTTTCCGAGTAGTAGTAGTAGTAGTAGTAGTAGTAGTAGTAGTAGTAGTAGTAGTAGTAGTAGTAGTAGTAGTAGTAGTAGTAGTAGTAGTAGTAGTAGTAGTAGTAGAAGCACCAGTAGTAGTAATAGTAGTAGTAGTAGAAGCACCAGTAGTAGTAATAGTAGTAGCAGCAGCAGCAACAGTAGCAGTTGTAGTAGTAATAGTAGTAGCAGCAGCAGCAGCAGCATTAGTAGTTGTAGTAGCACCAGTAGTAGCAGTTGTAGTAACACCAGTAGTAGTAGTAGCAGCAACAGAAGCAGCAGCAGCAACAGCTGTAGTAGGAGCAGTAGTTGCAGTAGTAGTTGTTGCTATTGTCGTCATCATACCAGCAGCAGCAATAGTAAGAAGAATAACAACAAGAACCATCAAAACCAAAAACGAAAATAGGCAGAGGAAACAGAAAAACCACAGTGAGAAAGCAATTCCTGGAAAAATATGAAAAATAAAGGAGGTTAGAGGAAAAAAACGCGCCATTCCTTGTTGAAACTGGCTCAGTGTATTTGAAGCATGCTCTGACAGTACGTTCTAGAAGACACCAGCTTTACCTGTGTGACAGTTCTGCGGGAATTAATTTTGTTACTTCCCTTTGTTGAAAATCTAGGATGGGCCGAAATATTGGCATTTTTAAAACTGGTAAAAAGACGAGTTATTTCCTCTTAATGGAAATCAAATCGTTTCCAAAAACAAGTAGTTCACTGCAAATGTAATACCTTCTGTGTATATCGTCATCTCATTTACGGTTACCTCTGTTGCTTACTGCAGACTCACCCCCATTTGTGCAATGAATACCGCATCCACTGCTAATTCTGTTTATTAAACTGACGTTCAATGCCACTAGAACATCATATCGAGCAATAAACACTCTGTGACACAAAGTGCCACAACTCGGATGAGGGTCACCCGGGGACAGGTGCCAGAAACCCTGTGTAACTCATAGATTGGGTTTTATTAGGGCCTCCCGGCAATAGACAGGGTGGGGCTTTAAAAAGCAAAAAAAATAAATGAGTCTGACATGGGGACGCAGTATTAGAATAATTTTATAACAGCTCCCCCCTTACAGCATAAGACAATTCCAATCAAATCAAAAGAAACGTATCATAAAAAACATATTCATTCCCATCCTATACTACAAGTCCCAGGGATAGTGGCCCACCCCAAACCACACAGAAAATTAGTAGTGATTGAAAATTAGGAATGGCTTTCATCAGTTTGATATTGGTGGTCCTTCCTTGTTTAGAGAATCTCTTCACTTCTGTTTTGTTATTGGTGGTCCTTCCTTGTTTAGAGAATGTCTTCACTTCTGTTTTGTCTACGCTTTATTTTGTATCTGCCTCATTCTGAGTGAAGTCTATCGATGGTCTGGTGGCATTGAAGATTATCAAGCACAGCCATGAGGAAGGAGCTGGCGGCACAGACTTGATGCAGGGTGGTCTGCTTGGTCTTGTCGTCGACAACAGGCATGAGATTACAAATTGTTTCCCATTTCCCAAGCAAGGTGAAGATGAAGACTGTGATGCAGTGTCTGTTCAATACCAGATGGAAATGATGAGAAATCTCCGCCATGTTAATGTGGATCATTTGCATGTCGGCTGGTACCAAAGCACCTATTTTGGATCGTTTATAAATCGTGCTCTGCTATCAGCATTCTATAGAAGAATCTGTTGTACTTATTTATGATCCATTGCGCACTACTCAGGGGTTCCTTTCATTGAAAGCCTACCGTCTGACACCGGAAATGATGAAGTTCTACAAGGAGAATGACTTCACACTGGAGAACATGACAAAACATAACATCAACTTTGAGACCATGTTCCAAGAGATCCCAGTGGTTCTGAGAAACTCTCACCTGGTGAATGCTTTGCTCTGTGATCTGTCTGAGAAAACCAGGAAAGAGAAGAAATTTTCACCTCTTGACCTGGGCACCAGCTCTGTGCTAGAGAAGAACCTGCGTCAGTTAATGGAGTGTGTGGATGACGTTGCAACGGACACTAACAAGTATCTCAACTTCCAGAGAAATAATTTCAAACAGCAACAGATGAAACAGCAGTACCTTGCGAAGAGGGAATAAGAATAAGCCCAGCGGAAGCAGCGAGGAGAGCCGCCTCTGCCAGAAGAGGACATTAACAAGTTATTCAAGCCACTGCCGACACCCCAGCGCTTGAACTGTACACTCGTGGCTGGGTAGATGGACAACTACTGCAAACAGGTGTGCGAGTTTGCAGCTTCCAGCCTCGGGAAGTTGTTTATGGCAGAAACTCTACACACTGCAGAAGTTTTTTTTTTGGTCCAAGAGGTTGGGGTTTAATAAATCTTGTGTAATCAAAATGACAGGATTTGAAAAGCACATTCTGTATTCAGGTGGGGGAGTATTTATGAGTAGTTGACATCCATTATTTCCCCATTTATGATCATCATAATGCATTTTGCCAACTTGCATGGGTGGTCTCATATCTGGTCCTTGACAGTGATCAACAGTTAGAACATTTTATTGAGTCTTAGTAGATGTACAGAAGAATGGGTCGTATTTGATGGAAACAAAACTAATCAGATACAGTAGTTATGACAAGGCTAGGAATTATAAGAGTTGCTGAAGGAAAGAAAGGAGATAAGATGAAATATATTTTGGCCATAGTAAAAGACATAGCATTTTTAGTAAAAACCGTGCTAACGGGAAAAGTTAAAGGCAAATGAGAAAGAGGCAGACAGCGATACAGATGAGAGGGTCTAGAGATGGAGAGAGTACATCCATGGTGAAAGAGCATGTGGAAATTCCATTGCAGCCAACGTTCATTTGAGATGGGAAATAATAGTTTGACTGCATTCTGCAACAGCAGGCATCATGTCGTCTACTGGCACTTTTTTGGGGGAATCTTATTTGTCCAGTTGTCACAAGTTCCTTTTTTGTTTTCCCTCTCATAATGTAGCAACGTCTCAGATATTAAAACATGTTTTGGCATTGGTATCAGACAAGACTGCAAAGATTGTTTCGAAAAATGTGAAACATGCCTGTCTCATCTCTTGAATTAAAAGATAAATTTCAACAACAAAAAAAAATTTTAAAAAAATTAAAAAAAAAAAAAAATATTCTTATGTACTGCTATTGGTGTTAGTCAGTCAGATGTCTTAGAAAAGCTGCAGAAGTAGCCAGAAAAGTTACAATTGAAGTCGTAAGAGATTTTTGCTTTGAGCGCGACGCAGGTTAACATGGTCAGCATAAGAGCTACCGCACGCTAGGATACCCGATGTGTTGGGATGTGGTGGAGTCTCAAACTATCGTGACTCTTTGGATCCATATTCTTCTTAGTCGTCCTCCTGCCTCTTGATAAATGTATGTTGTTCAATGCTCTTGTGTCCGACATCATTGAATTTATTCTAATTAAATGGCCAAATCGTTTCAATCTTCGTTTTTCAATGAATATTATTATAGCTGTTGTTACAGTAGTTCTTGTAATATTTTTCGTTTCTCACATGATTTCTATGTTTTGTTTCACAGTTTTTAACAAATGTTTCCCCAGGTGGTCAGTTCTCTTTCGTATTCTGTAGTCAATGCCCAGATATGACTTTGATAATGAGGTTTGGATGAAGATTTCATCTATACAATATAGACTCACCAGGGACCCCCCAAAATAGTTCTTCTTATCAGAAATTCCTCTAATCAAGATAAGTATTTAAGCAAGAAAAACTGCTGGGGAGAAACAAATTGTTCTTCACAACAGAAATTTGTGACATCCGAGATGGTATTTAGCTGTCTCCACTGTAATAATTAAAAATAAAAAAGACCTTATGCCTTTAGGCATATTGGGCTAGACCTATATTTTTTATAGACTAAACAGCACGCAGTGGGTGATGAAGTCCACATCAGGCCGACCGCCTTTACATCTCAGGATTGCACCTGGTACCCAGTCAAGACTGGGTCGACCTAGCAGCCAAGGTTATACTGTAGTTATTAATAAGCTTATTCAATTAACTCTCGCCTTCTGTTAAACGAACAGCCAAATACTGTTTTTACAGGATCTATTGCAAGCTTTTTCTGAAAGTGTCACATGTTCTCTGTTATGCCTCCAATAAGATTTATAAAATTTTTGAATTAGATTTATTAGTATACTACATTTTCTTTTTATTGAATAATGCAGATTTAATTAGAGCACATTCAAACGTGTGTAACCTATGATTTAGTTGTGGCTGAAAATGTTTGTTATTATCTATAAAATGATTTATGAATGATAACGGTATGCTGGAAATGAGACAAAATACTGCAAGTCTCAGTAGAGGGAAAGAGGAGAAGAGGCAGACCAAAGAACCTGACTGACTAGACAGGCCTCAGGCATGCTACCACGAAGTCCACCGCACCTGGCCGCCAAATGTGGAGAGGGCTGATCAGACAGTCAACAGAAACTGGTGACCCAACGCAGGGGGTGATGATGATGATGATAAAAATGAGACTGGAAGGGCAAAATGTTAGACAGGCCTCTGAAAATAAACTTTGCTTTGTGTGTGTGTGTGTGTGGGTGTGTGTGTTTTTTATGTTCATAATATGCATATTACTATATGAATATAACATGCTTTATTGATAAAATACAACAGGCCCAATTTGTGACCCTTTGAAAATATAAGTTTGTTTGTTTGTTCCTGTCCTTCTCCCCCCCCCCCCATCCCCCCCCCCCCCCCCCCCATTTTCTCGTTGCATTATGTACACAAATATTAATTTTCTCAAAAGTCAAAAGAAAGCAGGCTTACCATTTCTGATGTGATAATTTTGTAGAAAATTAATAATATCACGAACCATTAAGAATAGCGATATTCTAGAAGTGAACATGCAGTGAAATATACAGACAGGCTCATTCTGAAAAGAAATAAAAGAGAATCACCAAACAGGTACTGAAATGGGAAATAGAGGGACTGAGGAAATGGAGACATCCAAGAGAAACCCTGATGTGAACAATGATAAAAGAGGCCAAAGGTGCTGGACTAATTCCATCCATATCGAGCTAATTGCACAGGATACAACGGCAACTGATAAATAGACTGTCAACCCTATGTGACATACAGTGGCACAAAAGGTCACTAGATTTATGCAACTGCCGTGATCAACAACAGCATCTCCACCCCTCCCCTTCCCCATGTTTTTCTTCTTAGTCCCTACATTTGTGATTAAGAATAATGTTATCTCAGGCAACGTCTTTACATAATGGGCATTCTCATGAGTGCTCAGTCCTCGGCTGCAGCGGTCAGTCCAAGATATCTGTACTGTTTGTTCTCATAAGAAGTTGATTTTAATATCTCCTCTCTTTACCTCAAAGACAGCATAGCCATGCTTTATCAAGCTCAACTCCTTGATGACCAGGCGATCATAGCACCAATAGCAGGACCACTACAAGACCAAATTAATAGACTCCACTCAGAATGTGACAACTACAAAATGAAGATCAACGTAAACAAAACAATAGTGGAGACATTCTCCAGAAAAGGAAGGACCACCAATATCAAAACTAATAAACGTCAGTTGAAGCAGGCGGAGGATTTTTAAGAAGACAAAAGAATTAATAAAGAAATCCAGCAAAGATGCAATAAAGCCAATAAAGATTTAGGCCAAATGGCACCAATTATGAAATGGATGTATGTGAATATGAACACTGAAAGAACCCTGCTCAACACAATATTCTTACTAATGCTAAAGTACCAATTTCAAACATGGACACTGACTTCAGAAGACAGAAGGAAGATAGTCAACACAAAAATGAAAGGTTTACGGACTATGCTAGGTGTAAGGAGGAAAGATCGACTTAGGAACAATGATAACAGGAGGGAGAGTTGGCACAGAACCAATACTGAACTTTATAGACAACAAATCAAATGATTTGACCCCCCGTGTGGGTTCCGGGGCCCTATTGTAGGGAAAACAAGAATAGACCCACTGCCTCCCCAAAAGCATGTCGTAAGAGTCGACTAACTGGGGAGCTTCCTTTGAAGTCGGAGTGCATCTGCCTGAGAGGCAGGGAACCAGCAGTCTGCATTCAATTGAATCAGATCTGTAAAACTGATGCACACGCAACACTCAGGTTCTGGAGCAGAACTGTAGTCCAGAAGTGGACGAAAAACCAGAACTTTACGCCAGAGTGTACAGCTGGTGAACGCGAAGAAGAAGAAGAAATGATTTGACCATGTAACAAGATTGGCATCAGACAGGGTAACTGACATGTGTGTAAAATGTATGGAACACAGACAGGGGAACTGACATGTGTGTAAAATGTATGGAACACAGACAGGGTAACTGACATGTGTGTAAAATGTATGGAACACAGACAGGGTAACTGACATGTGTGTAAAATGTATGGAACACAGACAGGGTAACTGACATGTGTGTAAAATGTATGGAACACAGACAGGGTAACTGACATGTGTGTAAAATGTATGGAACACAGACAGGGTAACTGACATGTGTGTAAAATGTATGGAACAATGTTCACACAATCTCAAATAATTATAAAGGATACTGTGTTCACAAGCCTCCATCAGCTGACAAAACAAAAACACACTCATGTTTGAACTCAAGATACTATATGCTAATAAAACCTTTTTTGTGGCATCATTCTCCATTTTTTTTTTAGCTCACGCTCTCATAAACTGGGCCCTCTCTATTTCATGGTCTTCCTTTCCTTTTCACAGCAAACCTTCTTTCTATCTTCAAACAAACTAAAAAAACGCAGAGGTCAAGTTAACAAAACAGTATATATATTGGCACAAGAACAGATCAAATCAAGTTGTATGAAGTACACATAGAAGAACATGCAGAAAACTCACTGCGTAGAAAATGCATATTGTTGCATACAGAAATAACATGAAAGCTCACCTTGTTTGGTCCACACTGATATGCATTTACAGAAAACAATACATACATGCCTTATCTAAGGACAACAGTACATCCATCTCCTTCTTCTTAGGACAACAGTTTATTTATCCATCTCCTTCTTCTTAGGACAAGATTACATCCATCTCCTTCTTCTTCTTCGGCATAATGAGCCCTTGAGGTTCGTTGCTGCAGATATCACTGACCTTCACTCGTCTCTGTCGCTGGCCTTCCCTTTCCAGTTAATGACTCCAATAGTGTTCAGGTCTGCCTGTGACCGATTACATCAACCAGCGTTTTCAGACATAACTCACCTCTATCCATCTCTGCACCGTCTTCTTGGTCTGCCTCGTGGCCTACCCCTATTCTTTTTAAGTACCTAGCTTATCTCTCTGTCACTGTCTCTAAATGCCCCAGTTACTGCAGACTATAACCCCTTATGATGTCAGTAATTAGTG